TCGGGCCTAGACCGAAGGGTCTAGGCCCGAAACGTCAGCCTTTCTGCTCCTATGATGCTGCTTGGCCTGCTGTGTTCATCCAGCTCTGCACCTTGTTGTCTCGGATTCTCCAGCATCTGCAGTTCCTACTGTGTCCGAGCTTCTGTTCACTCTGAGAGCTGGCTCTGAGGAAGCTGCAATAGTGTCAAGGACTCTCCATGTGTAAATAAAGAGTGACTTGGTGACGGAATACCTGCATCTGCGGAATTATTTCACAGGGTATCCCAGTAGCCAATGCATCGTTCATGTCACCCAGCTACACTTTGATAAATCCACCTTCCATCATAGAAGGAGAGACAGGGTTGTGGGAAGAGTTGGAGAGGTACTGATACCAACTGGTACTTAGACTGGTCTTAATGCCCTTCACAATTTGGGTTGAGCTAACACTAAATTGTCAATATCATTCAGGGGGGCCACAGTGATTGTTGATGTTAAAAATGGAAAAAGGGCTGTAGTAGCAGTTTTATTGAGTCATAGGCCTCATCATTAACGACCACCACTCCTCTGCATTCTCTATATTGTGTTGGAAAGCGTTAAAGAGTAAAATCCATGTAATTTGATTCAACAGTTTGTGCATACATCTGGAACTATTTTTATGAAGGTAGATCATGGGGCATCCTGCTAAGGAGAGACATGGCACTTATTAACATATTTTAATATGGCTAACCCAGGGCTCCCTGTTTGAAATTAATTCATGTTCATGTGTTTTCTGGATTTGAGAAAGTTCAGTAGTGAAATTGAGCTGGATGGATTTAGCTTCCCACTGTAAGCAGCATTTTCAGTATTTCTTACAGGATCAGGAACTATTGGGTTTAGGGGTCTTTCATAGCCCATGGACCTTCCAATCACAAGCCTCACAAACCAAACCTGACTGCTGACCAGAGAATCTCACAAATTCACTACCTGTGTCGAAGAAATTCCTACTTATCTCTGCCTTAACTAGGCAATCATTTCTCCATGATTAGATCCATTAGTCCTAGATGCTCACAAGGAGAAACAGCTCTGCATTTACCGTGTCACAATCCCCAAGAATTTTATGTATTTCAATAAGTCTTTATCTCATTCTTCTAAACTCCAATGAGTATAAGCTCAACCTAGTCCTCCTCATAAATAAATCCCTCCTAGTGAACCTTTTCCAGACTGCCTCCAATGCCAATATAACCTTCCTTGGATAAGATGCCAAAAATGATTCACAGGGTCCTTCATTTTATTTTATTTCTTCTTTTTTCTTTCCTCAATTAACTCTATTTTACTTTCCTGCTCTTTCTGTACCTGATTTCACATGAATTCACTCTCCAGTGATCTTTCTTTGTTTTTCAACCTTTAAGTCTCACTGGTCTTGGGGTTACAGATTTGTTTCTGCCATTTGCTAAGTATGCAGTTGTCTTGTTATCCTCATTTACACTGTAACTTGATGAGAGCTTGAGCTGAAGAGTGAGGAAAATGTCTCATGGTGTGCATTACAATTGCCAGGTTTAAAGATGATTTGGTCCATAATAGTCAATACGCTACACATGCCTGGAAGCATTTGAAAATTGTAATGTATTCTCTTTTAAATGTAAAAATCCACGCATTCAAATATTTGGATTCCAGGATAGCCATTTGTCAGACCTAACTTTGAAATAAATTTGTCCTTCTATATCCAGTAAACAGATCCTTGATGGTTGGCAAATTATTGTGGATTTCACTCCAGTATCTATATGTTGTCTCTATAATCATTGAATTAGGTGACTGGTTTCATTAAATACCCAAGCGTATGTTGATCACATCATCTTCTTTTGAGAGTTTCACTTCTATGTGAAAAATCTTGTTACAGTTTTTTTTTAACCAGCTTCTTTCATGTAAGTTTGGTTTTTCACTCTTCTCTATGACAATAGGTCATTTTGCTCATTACTTTTTGGAGGTGATTAGAACTGTCACACATCCCAACTTGGGGATTTTCTATGCTCCATGATATCTTAATTCTCTCCATACACACACACGCACATGGACAGACAACAAGGATCTCCACTAATCCTAAACTGCAGTGGAAAAAAGCCTCCAAAAATCTCTGAGAAAGAACAGTGAGCATCATTCTTTATCTGCTGAATTCAAATTCTCAGCTATTTCTATGAAAAGTAAAACCAAAATATTCAGGTAATATTTGCAATTTCTCAATTATAAAATAACCTCCTGGGAAACTCAAACTTGAAATATAAGAGAACTCATTTTTGGCCATGAGCTTTCCTTTTGACAAGTATTAGAGACATTTTAAGGTCAGAATGTATGAGACTTCACCTACCTCAGCTTTGTTAGGCATGTTGCCACCAGTTTGTGGTGTACTGGGCTTGGAAGCATTACTGGAATCTACACGATAACTTTTTTGTTCTGACCCCAGAGTTCTGCCTTCTACCAGTGATGAAATGGAAGGCAAGGATGATGATGAGGACAAGGATAATGAGGAGGAGGAAAATAGGGACACGGTATTCTCAATTGGTGTACTAATTAATTGCTCAACACTTTTGCTGCAAGACACAAGCTGCAACTTAGATTTTGTTTCATTGTTGCTTTCTGTAAGAGAATGCTCTGACTGTGACCTCCTCGGACTGGATCGATTTAAACAAGAGATTCTTTCTGTGGCTGCATTAGGTAATTTCACAGGATTCTTTAAAAGAGATGGAATATGTTTCTCTGGGGCTGTGCTTTCTGGAGCATCATTACAGGAGTGATGGCCAGAAGAGAGTTTACTCTCAAGCTCATCTCCTATGACATTATCGATTGTCTCTAAATCAATTTGTCGCTGATGCGTCCCTGCTTGTTTCAGGCCACTCTGTCTAACTATATCATGTATACATGATGATTGATTTTCTAGTTCTTCAGAATGGCAAGAATACAAAGATTTCTCTTGCAATGAATGAAAACAGTGCAGCAAAGAAACATCCTCTGTAGAATCACCCTGTTCTATTTGGAGATGCTTGGATTTTGCTTCAGCATTACTGATGCAGCATTCAGAACTCCGCTTAGGTGTGAATCCAGGGCATGGGCAGTTCTTGCTTATATTCGTCATTTCAGGTCCATCATCATGGCCATAGGAGTCCTGTCTATTGGAATCTTTTGAACTTTCATTATGGTATCTTAGATTTCCTCTCAGGTTCTCAGTGCTGTTCTTTTGAATCTGTTGCAGATCTCCCAATGTTGCTGATCCAAATCCTGGGGAGAGTGCAGGGCTATCAGGCATCTCTTCAAAAGCAATTTTCTGGGATGCTGCCATAATCACACAAGATGTTGCCTGGTAATTCTCTTGAGTCTAAGAGAAAGAAAGGAGTTTGAATTGTTTAATAGTTTAAAAAAGCACAAAATTAATAAGAACATAAAAACTAGGAGCAGGAGTAGGCCATCTGGCCCCTCGAGCCTACCCCGCCATTTAATAAGATCATGGCTGATCTTTTTGAGACTCAGCTCCACTTACCCGCCTGCTCACCATAACCCTTAATTCCTTTACTGTTCAAAAATTTATCTAGCCTTGCCTTAAAAACATTCAGCGAGGTAGCTTCAACCGCTTCACTGGGCAGGAAATTCCACAGATTCACAACCCTTTGGGTGAAGAAGTTCCTCCTGACCTCAGTCCTATATCTGCTTTCCTTTATTTTGAGGCAATGCCCCCTAGTCCTAGTTTCACCTGCTAGTGGAAACAACCTCCCTGCCTCCACCTTATCTATTCCCTTCATAATCTTATATGTTTCTATAAGATCTCCCCTCATTCTTCTGAATTCCAATGAGTATAATCCCAGTCTACTCAGTCTCTCCTCATAATCCAACCCTCTCAACTCTGGAATCAACCGAGTGAATCTCCTCTGCACCCCCTCCAGTGCTAGTATATCTCTTCTCAAGTAAGGAGACCAAAACTGCACACGGTACTCCAGGTGTGGCCTCACCAGGACCCTATACAGCTGCAGCATAGCCTCCCTGTTTTTAAACTCCATCCCTCTAGCAATGGCAGACAAAATTCCATTTGCCTTTTTAATTACCTGCTGCACCTGCAATCCTACTTTTAGCGATTCATGCACAAGGACACCCAAGTTCCTCTGCACAGCAGCGTGCTGCAATTTTTTACCATTTAAAACATAGTCCATTTTGCTGTTATTCCTACCAAAATGGATGACCTCACACTTATCAACAAATCTTCCAGCACTGAATCTATATAATAGAGGCAACTATTATAGAGAAGATGATCGATCCAGACAACAACCTGGCAGATATAAAAGCAGCAGAACTGGATTCAGGAAAGGTGATGATGTTATATAGTCACAATATTGAATATCAGTAAAGTCCTTAAATCATTTAAAATCTAAATCCAGTCCCATCCAGGAAAAATGGCTTGCTGTTTTGTTAATTTGTTCCATTTCTTTCACTAGAAATGAAACCTAAACAAATCTTTCTGTAGAGATTAGCAAGTCATCTGCCTAAGAAAACTAACAACTTTTCTTATACAATATTACCTATACATCAATTCCTGTGAATGTCATCAGGAATCATAAAATCACAGAATCCCTGCAGTGTGGAATCAGGCCATTCAGCCCAGTGGGTCTGCACCAACTCTCTGAAGGGCATCCACCCAGACCCACTCCTCTACCCTATCCCTGTAACCCTGCATTCCCCATGGCTAACCCACCTAGCCTGCACATCCCTGGACACCATGGACAATTTACCATGGCCAATCCACCTAACCTACACACCTTTGGGCTTAACCTTTGTTTTAAAATAGTTGTCTAAAGTATCAAATACTAAACTTGAACACACACGGTTTTTATATAAAACTATATATAGTTATATATTTTTATATAGACTTTGCTATTTCATTGGTTGTTGTGTTATCCAAGTCATTTAGATTTGACTAAACATGAACTTACCTTAAAACATATACATTCTCCAAATACACTGTTGGCTGGTAAAGAAATAACTGCTTAAAACTGTACATCTAAACAGCAGCTGAACTTTTACTCAAAATGTTAGAGACTTTTATTTTTCTCCGTTGTTAGTTAGCTACTCAGCAGCGATTGGCTCTCTTCAACTTCCGTTTGCCTCGAGGCAATGCTAGGTATTGGTTTACGGTGTTCCACTCCCTTTTATTCTTTTGTCAGTTACAGTGAAAACAGTACAGGTCTGTTGATGAGCTTTCCCAGCCTTTAAAGTTTCTGTGGGCAACAGACTTATAAACAAAGTGGCAGGCTTGAACTTGTTGACTTGAATGAGGTGCCATACCAACTGATACCATTCTGTGATTAATCCATTTTATTGAATATTATATTACACAAGGACCTCTTTGCAGTGATGGGGATGAAATCTGTGTTCATCCTCTAATTAAATGTTAAGCTTATATTCTATTTAACAAATTCTACTTTATTGTGATGCATCACAAATCTCATATTTGTAATTAAGCTTAGAATTTATTTTTATTAAAACATGGGATGAGGCATCGCTGGCTAAGATAGAATTTGCTGCGTATCCCTAATTGCCCCGAAAAAGGTGATTGAGAGCTGCTGCCTTAAATGGCTGAAGATCTTCAGATGTAGGGACGTTCACATTGCTCTTATGAAACGAGTTCCAGAATTTTGACCCAGTGACAGTAAAAGAGCAGCAATATAGTTCCAAGTCAGGACGGTATATAGTTTGGAGAGTACTTGCAGGTGGTGGTGTTCCCATGCACAGAATTTAAGATATTGACCTAGATTTTAGATTTTCAGCAGATGTGATTCCCACATGCCTCTTTGAAATAGATATCTCATTAGTTCTAACCTTCTGTCCTTTCCATCAAAAACAAACAGCTCTTACCCGTTAACTAATAATACAATTCAATTTTTAAAGTTAATTAATTTATTTCCAGCAAGCTTTCATTTTGTAAGGAAAAAATGTCTTATATTGCCTCTAACTGCATTGCTAATTACCCTATACAATGTGGCATTGGATTACCACACTTCTGACACTGAAATCAATTTCTATTTCTGTGAGTATTGCTTAAAAAGACTCATTTTGTCATAACTTTTTTCTTTCTTGCACTCATCAGGGCAAGAACACCAGCAGATGAGGAAAACCAATATTTATTCTGCATAGGAGGGGTGGTTATTGGTTCGCAATTAGACTCTGATTGGTAAAGACATTGACATAGAGAATACATCCATTAGTGGTGATTGACTATTAATTGCCATACTTTGCTTAATATTATATGAGGCAGGATGACTCTGATTGATTAGGGTATTACCCAGAGAAATAAGCCAGCAAATAGATGTAAACTAATTTATAAAGCTGAAAGAGGATAGTGTTCTTTCTGTCTGCAAAGAATCCTGCCTCATGTGTTAATATATGTAGCTTCTGGTATATCCAAGTGCACCACAATGTGAGGCCAACTGACAATCCTAAATTGCTTGTAAGCATAAACCTTCATACACCTAGCATTATCCAACTAATGTCCAATTGCAGAATCACATTTATCTTGGAACACTGTGTTATACAAACAGTTATAAAAAGTTACACAAGTTACAAAAAGTTTTACAAACATAGGCTGGATGCATGCCGTCAACCCTTTGCTTGTTGTGAACAGCCAAATGGACGTATTGTTTGATACAATCTGCCAGCCTTTGGGGTATACTACCTACATACCTGGCAGGAAACCAGCGATGAAAATCAGATATCGCATAAATCATTTGTGTGATTGGCAGAAAGTCTTTTTTGTTTGATAGCAGCATCCTGTTAGTGGTGAACATCACTCGTTGCTATTCCAAAGTAGCAGCATGAAACAGCTAGTTTTAATATTGCTCAAACTTAAGATAGCTTTCACTTCCAGGGTAATCTGCTCACCCCTGACTTTCCACCAGTTTTGTGTCATCCACAAAGTTGGTTATGGTACATTTCACTTTCCTCATCTAAGTTATTAATATACATCAAAAATTAATTGTGGACACAGCATTGATCCCTGTGACGGTCCCCCAGTTACAGTGTACCTACCATTTCTGAAAATGCCACCCTTATTCCAGCTTCCTGTCTTCTATTAGTTAGCCAATCCTCTAACCATGTTGATATACTATATCCAACACCATTGGCTCTTATCAAGCAGACCAATGTGTGATACCTTATCAAACACCTTCAGAAAATCCATATTTATCACTTCAACTTCTCCCCCTTTATCCTGTTTGCTCTCCAGAACCATCTGAGATGCATTTGGTAGATTTACTGCCACCAATTCGTTTTAATTTGAGTTACTGACATTAAATGGGGACGGATCCCGAGTCTTCAACAAATATTAGGCTCAGAATTAATAAACTGGAACGATTTCTAAGTGTTATGTAATATTATGTGACGTTTATGTCAGACATCAGGCTCCAATTGAGTAAGCTCATATTACTATTCCTGATACTTTTAGGTACACACAAGACTACACTCAATCACAGGTTATCTGCTCCCAGCGGCCATTGTTCACATTGTAAAGGGTGGAACTTATCACATGATGTCAGTTTAAGGATGTCACTGAGTCAGTCAAATTTTGTCCAAATGTAGAAATGAATCTATTAAATGTCTCCAAATCAAACTTGACATCAATGGATGGTTTAGAGTTTTAGGGTAGTGTTGAATTTCCTTTATTACTAGTTGAAGCACCCAAAGGTTTCTTGAGCAAGACAAATTTAAACTCTTTGCAACATAGCACACTCTTTGTGCATGAAGAGGAATGCTCTAACCCTGCTACACTCTTTATAAATTAATCTACTGGTATATTCCATTTAAAGAAATTAATCTAATCACGAGGACAATCAAATAATCCAGACAAAAATGGACAGATGAACAAAATTTTGAAAGGCTTGTGTGTTGTGGCATTGCATACAAGAATGAAAAGATTGGGAATATTTTATTCTGTATAACTCCACAATAAGCTGTTAAAACAATGGAAAGCAGAAACCAACAGTATAATGAAACTTTAGCTTAAATAGACAAAATAACGAAATTAAATTATTTTCCAAAGCAAAGCAGTAAGTTGTAAAAAAAAACAAACTAAATTCATTACCTTGATAAAGAGAAATTTATAATTGTCCTTGTCACAAACTTTATGGAAATGAAATATTTCGTAACGTTGTCAACATAAATGTCGATAACTATGAAAACAAACTAAGCCAGAAATTAAGCAGCACGTTTGCTGTTACAATTACTTAGAGGACAAAGCTTTTCACCATAGAAATGTGCCTTTTCATGCCATGTTGCATATAGACATTGTGATTTTCATTAAGAGCAAAAGTTGTTAAATGAATATCACTAGAAGTGATGAAATATATTTTTATTAAATGTTTCATCAAATTAATCAGTACAAGTTTAAAATAAAATATTTCTACATTGAAGTCAGCATCTCAAATGAACATTTAAGATCAATGTAACTACTTTTACTAATAATCACATTTTTCTTCTTTGAGAATTGGTTTCCCCAATTTTCACTTAGGTTTATTTCAGAATAGGTAATTTGAATGAATATTTTGTTACGAGTAATCCCATTCTATTCAGTCCTATAAACCATTTTCAATTACATGAAAAAAGCATGGTAATTCACACCTTGCAAAACTGTATCATTCATATGTATTGATGGTTTACCATATTCATTACATAATCTTGACTGCAGATTCACTTGAATGAGGAGAATCAGTTGCACACCGCCTTATCACGCATGTAGAGCACTGGTGCGAGGAAATCGAAATAAACGGTTGGGTAATTTTGTAGCAGCTTAAGGAATGGTTATTCTTGCAGTGTTTACCTCCTCCTCTTCAATAACTTACCAAGAAAGATATGATTATGCTTCAGAAAAATGAGATTTAGTATCACACAAAAATGCAATTCCAAAGGGAGATTCAATGAAATATTCTTAAACTAGTACTTCTGAGAAGTAGCATCAATTGGATTAATTAATTTCTAATTTGTTGTGAAGAAGTCACGAGGCTAAATGTAAGTCTTTAAATATACATTGTACTGTATTCTTCCCAGATCCAAATGCCAGCAAGCAGGATTGTATAAATCTAAAGCAATGCCAGGGCTCTGGTGTGAGAATGCTGTTGCTGAAATTTGAAGCTTTTGACCATCCACTAGAAGTTTGCACTTGTTTTTGAAAAATAAGCAGTAAGTAAAAAATACATTTTACTGTTTGACTAGGTTTATAATTGCACTGTGAAGCACAGAGAGGAGAGAAGGATGCACGGAGTGGCCTTTTTTGGCAACTGATTAAAATATGATATTATGACAAAGGACTTTTCTCATCATACCTACATTTTTATGTGACACATATACAATTATTTTATGACTGCAAGGCATAAAGTAACTTTATTCTCATAGCGTTTACTGTTCATGGCAACTTCAGATTCAATTGGGATTCTAAAATGGCCACTCTGACAGTGTCGGCCTAATCTCCATTTAATATTTATATTCAGAGACAATTTTACTAGTGTAATTGATTGCCAACATGAAGCTTTTCAGCCGTGTCCACTTATATTTAAAGGTAAAGGTAAAGTTGTCATTATCCCAGAGGACCACAGGGCTACTCTCTCATAGAGAGGAAGAAACCAGTGGTGAATTTAACCTGAGGATCACCTCAGGTGAGGTACAGAAGGTGAGACCTTCACAATGACCTCAGCTAGAGTGGGGAAGTGAACTCATGCTGTTGTCATCACTCTGCAACACAAACCAGCCAAATGAGCTGATTGATTTCCTACAGTTACATAGTTTTGAACCAGTTAAATATTCCTGATATTGTATATTTACTGTTTTATTCACATTGTGGGGAGGATTTTTAGAAGTATTGAGATAATCTATGCTTCATTACAAATCAATTAATTTGTTGCTTCTGCCACAATTGGGTCAAAAGTCCTGTAATTTAAAATAAATTGAAACTACACCACGTAATTATAACTTTATGTCCTCGATGTTAGATTGGATTGGATTCGCTGGATTGTTGGATTTTGGATTCGCTGTTGAGATTAAAGAATTCTAATTCTCTGGCATCATCTGACCTGTGAAAATGGTTTGTTGAACTGTTTGTAAAAGTAAAAGACTGAAGCATGGCAAAAAAAGGTAATTAACCTGTTACATAGAATTTGATTTCCATTCCAGGTGCTGTTGAATTGAAGTCTGGAGAAAGTCAGACGAAACCAAATCTGCAATTTCCTAAAACCCACCAGAATGTTGTTAACATGTTTTTAAAGTCATTAACTCAGATTATCTGGTTCAGGGTCTCTCAATCTTTTGTGTTTCTGAGCACCTGCTATACCCCCACCCCAACTCCAACCCTAGGTTACAGACATTCCTTAGACTTGTACGGAATTATTCTTTTTTCAATCTAAAAAATGTCACACAATGAAAAAAGTATTTTTTTGTTTTATTTCCTACCTGACTGTTATCCTCCAGTCTTTTCCCTTTTTGGGATTGCAATTCTGGTTTCTTCACTTGCTGACTAAGCAGAGACATCTCATATAATAATCCTTCTAATGTGCAAATTCATTGTAAATTAAGTAAGCATTTTTCAAAAATGTATATACTGTATAAATATCACATCAATCACAACTTTAATTTCCAATTACACAGAAGACAATAAATCAACTATATTGTTGCCACTCTTACAAATTCACTTGTGGAATTATAAAGTCATATAGTACATGTCAAAATCTGCAACAATGATTTAATCCATTGAGTTGCACAGCAATAATGACAAGTCCTGGTCCTGACCAGTGTTTTTCCAGTCAAATGACAGGTGCATACAGTAAGTCCAAGGCACACAAATACTTGGAAAAATTGTGGGATTTTGTGGAATAGCTTTAGTCATCCATCATAAGCTTAGACTTTGCTAATTTCTGCTTCTGAAACATAATATAACCATTTTACAAACATGGTCATGATATTTTAAGTTCCATACCCACCCACACCCCACAATCAATCTCTCTCTCTGCAACCAAACATCAATTGCCTATGCTGTGTTGCACATAGACCAGCTGTTTTCTTCCCTCATGCTCTCTGTTTATACTTCAGCAAAATATGTGCAACCACAGAGAAACTGCCACCTTTGATACACAATCATTGGACATCACTTCTTAATTGAAACTGCATCTTGGCCATTTTTCCCAACATGGATTTTGATTGGCATGACATTTATATTTGCAAGAAGTACAGGATTTCTTTTTGAAACCTACAGGTCACAGAAATCTGGTTGAGAACCCCCAATCTAGTAAATTGTCTCAGTTCTGCTCAAAAGTGAATTCTTAACCTGTATTGAGAAAGAGTAACCTGTAATAATTACCGAGGCACCAATTAACAAGATCTGTATGTACTTTTCAAAAGAAATTAAATTTGCTCAGAATCACATTAAGTTTTAATAGTCTTATAGAAGTAACTGTGATAGCATGTTCCTGACTTTAAATTAATTCTGTAGATAATTTCAAGTACAATTTAACTTTACAGTCAGCATCTATACTATTCTTTTGCCTTGCCCATTCTGTCTTTCTATTTAGGGTTTCATGTTTTTTATTCATTCACAGAAAGTGGGTATTGCTGGGTTGACCAGCATTTATTCTCCATATTCTTACTTCCAAACTCGCCTTTTATTTAACTGGCATTTACTCCTGTCCTTATTCTTTATCCTTTTCAGCAAGGATGCTTTAGCAGGTCAAGAAATTGATCTACTGCGACAATTTAAACCAATTACAATCAATAGCTCCTTGAAAAGAATCAGGTACCAAAGCAATCAGTGAAGTACAGTTACAGTTTGTATGTGCAAAATAGCAAATCCTGAACTTTAAAGATTAGACAGTACATTTGGTAACTCCATAATAAGTTTCTTTTAATTTGTTTCAGCGCATCTGATTTTCCGCAGCAATTCTTATTTCAATAATGTTTTTTTTGTACGTTCTCAAACATGTACTCATATTATTGTGATGTGATAATACTGAAAAAGGCACTTTCAGTTAAAGCTATATGCCCAGAAATCACAAGGCATACTTTTAATAAGGAAATAATAGTGGAAGTTCATTTTAAAAAAAAAAGTAGAATTCCCAAGCAATTCTAGCACTACATTGTATCTTTTTATCCAGTTATGTTACTTGTCTCAGCTTTCTCCAGTGTCTAGAAAATAAAGAAAAACAGCAAATTACATACTGAATGTTTTTTGAACTCATAGATGTGATTTCACACCTCTAGAGCAGGTGGAACTTGAACTCAGATTTCTCAGGGTTAGGAGCACTATCTCTGTGCCACAAGAGGGCCCCAAGCTGAATGATAAATGTAGACATTCAGTGTTATGTTCAGAAGTCCTCAATCAAGCCACTAATTCTACATTAGAGTTTGATTAGCACAATATGAAACATGAATGCTTTCCCACTCCAGATTGTTTAGATGCAGAAGGTCAAGTCAATGGCTTCAGGACTTTCAAATGCACAGGGTTATGATGAGTGTTTAACCACCTAAATCTATGTTGAAACCAGCAGCACATGTCTAAAGGTGAGGTTTCACCATCCCTGGTAGATAATGACGTGCAGAGTTGACTGAAGCCCAGTGGAAGAATTACTGGCCTGAGTTTTGCCCCTCAGAGTTCAATTAATGACACATACAGATCAGGTAATTAACATTCCCCGAACACTGCAGAATTCCCAGCATAGCTACTTACTATCCAAATTGTCAGACAGTTTACTCCATTAACATGATTGGGATGTAATGTTCTTACAGAGGTTATATGCTCTCTCTACAACCCAAATGCAGAAGCAGATGTTCCCTTAATAACTATCTGGGTAACATCTTCCAGCAGTTGTCATACAAACCTTTAGCATTAAGTATTCTTTCTTCCTCTAGGGCACAAACATTTTGGGTACAATGAAATGTGTACTATAACAGATAATCCAGCCACCAGAAAACACCAAACTCAGAAATAAAATTGGGAAGTCAGGAGTAAAGATCCAAAAATACTAAAAGACCCCAGATGATCATCATGGATTGCAAACCTGAGCAGAAGCTAATCAGTTTACAATTCATGTTATTGAATTAAAAAAAGTCGGAGTTACTTTGTAAATAGTGATTACTAGTATTGCTACAAAAATTCAGAACAGCGGGCCATTTTGTCTTCAATTTATTTTAGTTGATTGCAGCTAAACACACATCAGTTTGCCACTTTTTCCTATTATGACTTGAATGTGGCTCTTCACTAGCAACAATTTGTACCATCACCAATATATTGGTAGACATCTTGAATAGCATTTAATTCTGTAAGCTTTTAAGATGATATCCACGTAGACAATGTATGATGTGTAATATTTTTGCCCTCATTATGCCACATTTGATCTCACAGGGCATGGGAACATTGGGTTTTGGGAAATAAGTAAGCCATTTGATCCTTTGAGCCTGCTCTGCTATTCGACAAGATCATGGCTGATCTGTCTGTGGTCTGCAGCTGACAAATTGGTGAGAATGAGGTCAAGTATGCTTTCCCTCTTGTTAGCACCCTCAGCACCTGCTGCAGACCCAGTCTTGCAACTATGCTCTTCAGAACATTACCAGCCCAGTCAGTATTGGTGCTAATGTGCCAGTCTCGGTGATGTACATTGATGTCCCCAACCCAGAATATATTCTTGCCATTCAAAGCTTCCTCCAAGTAGTGGAGCACTGATTCATCAGCTGGGGGGAGGGTGAGGAATGGTAACCAACAGGTTCTCTTGCCTATGTTTGACTTGATGCCAAAAGACTTCACGGTGTCTGCAGTCAATATTGAGGACTCCCATGGTAACCCCTTCTGAACAGTATACCAATGTGCCATCACCTTTGGCAGTCTGACCTACTGATGATGCAGCACATGGCGAGGGACGGTGATGGTGGTGTCTGAGACATTGTCTCATAAGGTATGATTCCGTGAGTATGACTATGCCAGGCTGTGCTTGACCAGTCTGTGAGACAGCTCTCCTAATTTTGGCAGTAGTCCTGAGATATTAGTAAGGAGCACTTTCCAGGATCTACGGGGTTGAGTTTGCAGTTGTCATTGCCTGGGTTAGTCTCAGATGATTGGACTGATTTCATTCCTTTTTTGAGACTTCTTAGCAGTTTGGTATAACTTAGAAGAGGCCGGGTTTTTCGGAAGACAGTTAATAGTTAACCACATTGCTTTGGGCCTGAAGTCATACGTAGGCCAGACCAAGGAAGGCCAGTAGATTCCTTTCCCTCAAAGGCATAACAGAACCCAAGGAATCAAGACACATCTTTTCATGAGGCTCTTCCAGAGATATTACAATAAAAAGAGGAAGCTCTTGTCAGTTGAAGCAATTTTTAAAAGGTTGCTACCTGTAGGAACTTTGACAGTATGCCCCAACAAGAAACACCTTCACCATGTACAAGGTTTCACATTGCTGCCAGTTTTGTAATTGTAATGACTGAACTTTGATAATTTTGCCAAATAACTGCAAATATAAAATCCAAGCCTATGGTTACAATAGATATAGGTTTGAACACCTATGTAAGTTTGAACAAATTACTCTGTAAGGAATTAGTCACTACATCTTGACATTCTAAAAGCTTCATAACTGGGAGCACCATTATACTTGCGCTTGTGCAAACTATCATTAAGGGATATGACCATAAAGGATAGGGAGGTCAACAGGTTAGCAATTTACTTGTAACAAGTATTGTCTGGAACTGCGTGCAAAAATAGATACAGTCCATTTATTCACTTTTTAAACTACACCATCCATTAAAAGTAATAACCTTCATCTTGTTATATTGCCCACCAACTTTAGTGTCAGAATTTGGAAACACTTGTTTAATGACACAAGCAAATCCAAACTTATATAGCAAACTCAATATAGGAAGATTTAACAAGTGCTCCCTTTGTAAATTCCAGAAGCAAACTTGTTTGCAGGGTAAAGTTCATATATTGCCGGAGTGCAAGGAGGTAGAAAACAAGAAAAATCCAACCCAAACACACTTACTGATAAATTGAAAACAAATCAACAGTATGCACTTACAATTCAGCACATACAAAGTAAACAAAAACACAGCATTTTAGGACACAAGATTCCTCAATGTCTTGGAGATAATGTTGGTCAATGGATGAAAAACTGTGCCCCAGTGGTGATGTGGCGTTACAGGGACAGGAGTGTTTTCTCAGATCAAGGGGTGTGGTGTGTGTGGTGCCAGGACATGGTACATTGGGGATACAGTTTAACAGTTACTGAACAATTACAGTAGGTTTTTAATTCTCTCACATTTCCTGGGTAATTATTAAGCTGAAGTGAATTCAAACATTGAATTCTCCAACTTTTAAGAGCTTTGTCAGAAGGTTTCAGACACAGGAGAATTGTCCACTGGATGTTTCAGGTTCCAAGGTAATTTCCACGAGTCAACTGCTTCAGGATTTCTATATGGTCCTGCGATGTTACGCTAACTATCTTACCATGTGAATGTCTTTGTGTGTTTTGCCACAATCTTGCTCAATATTAACCATTACCATTATCTGGCATTGTAAAATGAATTCTTACCAGAGCTGGTATTTTCTGTGTTTTCCCAACCTCGTGATTTTTCAACAGCTAGCTTCCACTTAGCAAAACGTTGGTTGCTTTCTGAAGATTTAAAAATTATACTAATTAAGGAATCCAAATATTATTTTAAAATGATTACTTATAGACACTTTCATTACGGTTGTCCCAAAACGATTATGTAATGAAGTGATCATTCACTGACTAGTGAACTTCTTTCCAGCTGGAAAATACACATTCAACAAACTGACCTTCTAAGTTCTGGGAGGTAGTCGACGATCATCACCTCGCAATATATCCCTTATAATTACTGAAAACCACCAAATGAAGATGTTGTCATTGCACTGCAACTTTCTGTAGATTTTACTTTGTCATTGGTTTTGTTTCATTTTAATCACAGGTGAATTAACAGAGAAATAACACTTTAAAGTAAGTAAATTTCACTTTAAACAGTTGATACAGCAAAAATACATTTACACAATCACATGCATTCCCCTTCTGCACATGTGATATTATGTAGCCACATAGTTCCTAAACAAATGTTCTTTACTCATGCAGGGAAGATCAGGAGTCCTATTAGACAACAGCTTTCACATTCAAGATCATGGGGGTACAATCTTTATCAGCAAGGCACACCTCCACAAATCTCTTCTCCATCATGTTACAACAGACCTGAAGGTGTAGCTTTCCAGAGTTTCTTTTCAACCAACTAACAAATACCCTATTTTGACCATTTCTGAAAAAACATCCAGCTCTTTAGCATCTTCAAGATATTCACTCAGCTTTCCCAGTTTTGAACCTTTTTAGCCATACAGAAAAACTGACCTCTTTCTGAGAGTGACTTGTTTCTTATCCTCAAGAATTTTCTGTCTGCTTGTGTCTGCATCTGTGCTTTCACCCTCTAACTCCTCTGCTTGTAGCTCTTCCTTGTGCTTGGCCACACTTCCTTCCTGTGAGCACTGCTCCCAGGTCAAAAGTCATAGGTTACATGGACCAGCATTTCTTCTTCTTAAAGAAAATTGCAATTGAGCCCTTCATAACATTCTTAAGTGTGCTTCTCAAAAATGCTTATTTTAAAGAAATTACATATTTTCCTGATCATACACCTTGCACCTCCTTGGAAAGAAAAAGATGCCAAAGGTGATAAGGCTTTTTTTTTTATAACTCTGTTTGAAACAGGTTCTTAACATTATAAACATAACAGAAAACAGTAGAATATTTTACACAGACAACAAAATCATATTTACAAAACAAATTTAATCACAAACAAAGATTGTTAGTTTAAAATTTTACTAAACCTAATCTGTTCCCCTGGCTTTAAGACTTTGTTACTGGCTCTCATTCTTTAAACTTCTGACAAGGGAACTGCAGTCACATTCGGTAGAATTTAATACTCTTCCCACCGTGAGTTGGTGGTCAGGTAGGCATTTCCTTAGTCAGAAGTATGAACTCTGCCTCCTTCCTGCCTCCATCCCAATTAAGTCCATGATGGAAGGCCCATGGTCACCATTCTCACCCCTGCTGTAAATCAATATCTACTTAAGAGCTTTATCCCACCTTTACTAGTAGTAGGCAGGAACATACAAATATTCAAATTAGGAAAAAGGGTAGATCTTTAGCACTTTAAGCCACTCCACCATTAAATAAGCTCATGGCTGATCTGACTGAGGCCTCAACTCCACTTTCCTTTGCCTCTATTGATAATTAAACCCAAGTCAATATGTCTGCCCCCAGGTTGGGTGTCTCATTCAAAGACAATAAATGCCTGACTGAAGGACCAGGCATTGAGAAGGGAGCATATAGAGGGTCAAGCCCTGGCCTTGCTACTGTACCATTCAGCTCTTCAACCACAACCCAGGGTGAAAATCCTCCCACCATCATTCACCTTCAGCTTTTGTCAATCCACGACCTTAATTGTTGTTAGGTGTCTCTCCCTAGTGCTACTGTTGCTCAACAGAACATCTGGCCTCTAACTGGCTGGCAGCTCTTGACAGCTGGCACGTGATGTGGCAGACCTTCCCTAAATGGGATGGCATGGGGCTTCCATAGGATCTCCAGCTGCCAAGTGAGATCGAGCTGCTGCCATTAAATATTTTGGGCTATGGTAATATGTACAATTTTTATGGTGAATGGCTGTACCATCGACCTCCACCAAATAAGCCTTTGGTTTTTCAGTTAGCAGATGGTGCCAGAGTTTTTACTTCATGTTGCTTTTAAAAATCTGCTTTAGATTGTGTATAGACTTGACCCTTACTTGTGATGGAAACAAATGTATTTGATGTTTTGTTTTCATTGGTTAACTTTGCAACGTACAATGTCACTGAACGAAAGCGGCCATCTGCTTTCTGGGTGCTGTTTGCTATGAATTGGAATCCAAGGAAAAATTCCATGTCATACTGCTTTTTACCCTCTCGTTACAGTAGTGCCGGTTAAGTATAATCACTAAATTGCCATCAGTAATTCCACTTTTTGAAACAGGCACTGAAGTACTTGGATTCAGTTGTTAACTCTTGATACCCCTCTTCTTCCATGCATGTATTTTTAATGTTTGATACTTGAAAAATCCAAACATCTCAGTTGTTCTTCATAATAATTAAGTTCACCTCAACTTGTATAAATTCAGGATCATTCTTAACTTTGAATTTTTCTCCACGATTTAACATTTCAGTTTTCTTTCTCAGAAGACACAAGTTTAATGTGATTGCCTTTTATGCAAGCAGTTCATTTTTCTGTCAAGTAAAATTTGCTTTAGCTACTTTTGAAACTTCATTAAGATCATGCCCCAGAACAAGGGGTCACAGTCAAAGAATAAGGGATAAGCCATTCAGGACTGAGATGTGGAAGAATTTCTTCACTCAGAGAATTGTGAACCTGTGGAATTCTCTACCTCAGGAAGCTGTTGGGCCAGTTCATTAGATATATTCAAGAGGGAGCTGGACGTGGTCCTTGCAGCTAAAGGGATCAAGGGGAAAGAGGGTGGGAATGGGATACTGAGATTGCATCATCAGCCATGATCGTATTGAATGGTGGTACAGGTTCGAGGGACCAAATGGCCTACTCCTGCACCTATTTTCTGTGCTTTTATGTTTCTGTTTCAACAGAAAAAAACTTGACACTCCTTTTTATCAGATTCACAATTTTCTCAATTTATTATTTCTTTTCTTCTAGTTAAGCCTAATTCCTTTCTAGCAAGAGTGATTACCTCTTCATTTTGAAGTTTTAATGAAGCTCTACAATATCAGCACTGGACTCAATTATTCCACTCTCCTTCAAAGCATGTTTTTCCCATTCTTTTCATTATTAGTGTTCATTAATGTTATTACCGGCTTTTCCTTGCCTTACTCATACCTTTTTTGTGCATTTTTAATTCAGTCTGGTTTACTTAATTTCCAACTACCATGAGGTTTTCCTGTTTAGCTTGATGCTCCAATATCATTTTTTAAATAACGTGGCCGAGCTGATGACTATGGATACGTTACATCTTTGATCAAAACAGTAAATAGCATACTTACAAAATAAAACTTTAAAATTGGTTAATCAGGTTAGCCGGCTTTTCCTGTAATTTTTCAGTTTCATCACTAAGAGGATTGATGAAGGTATAGTGTTGGGCATGATCTATATGGATTTCACTGAGGCGTTTGACAAGGTTCCGAATGGTAGTCTGATTAGCAAGGTTAGCTCACGTGTAATATAGGGAAAACTAGCTATTTATCATACTTCCCCTCCACTTCCCAACATCAACAACTCCCTCGCTCACTGGCCCTGTTGTTTCACCTTTTACCAGTTTGAAAACCTGCCATTCCCCTCAACATATCCTTTCACCCTCTCCTCACCTGGACCCAACTTCAGCTGCCATCTGAACCTCAAGGCACAACAATCCCCACACCCCTGAAATCCAAAACCTTATGCCAAACTAAAGACTGGCCCTGACTTCCCGCATCTGGCCTGAAATCCCATGAATCAAAAAGCCTCCAGCCCCGCAGATAGCCTGGACACGCCTCTCACTCTTTTGTCCCAACAAGTCCTACGCCCAACCCCCACCTCAGCTCGCCCTGACACACCCACAATAACCCCAACCTACCCTAAACACTCCATCACTTACCTGGCATCATTACCACCCTATGCCTTTCACAACTGCCACCCTAGCCCCACACTTAGCTACTGTGAAAGAGCAAGTATATAAGCTGTCAAAGTGTTTGGTTCTGCTGTTAGACATTAAAATTTCAGAACATGGTACAGGAATCTTTTTATTAACCAGTCCCCATGGGACCAGGAGTGTGCCAGTTGATCAAATTTTCCCGTTGATCAAGAGGTCCACATAATCAATGTAAAAACACAAACTACGTAATAGAAACATAATGCAGGGGGTATACACATCACTGTTATACTTTATTTACATCATAAATCACTTAAATAATAATGCAACTTCACCTTAAATAAAACTTGCCAGCAGAGAGCCTTCTTGCTCACACCCTCACACTACTCGGACATCGCGGAGATCACGATAATAGAGTACAACATTTTTTTCTGACTCATTAAGGTGCCGGTTAAAACAAAGTTTGCTGTACACTGATTGCTGCAATAGGGGTGTAGTTTGACTTCCCTGCAATATCAGGGAACTGTACTGATTTCCACTATGCTCCACATTTCTGAAGGAGCTAGGATCATAATTTCAAATAGAAATATGGATCTCAGTTCTAAACATAAAAAATGAGTGGACTGACAACCCAACTGTGACTGCCACTCTTCAGAATATCCAGTCCATTACGTTGCTTGCTGCATCTTAAGGAACGATGATAGGATTATAATAACTCTCTCACTTTTCGTTAAATGAAAAGCCAAGAAATATAATTTAACATATTGAACTCTTTCTGACAAGTGTTTCAGAACAAATATCATCTTACCAGCAGGTTCTATCTGAGGTTCAAATGTCTCCCATACTACTGCTGAGAGATCATCAGGAGATAGACTCCACACGCCAACACCATCTGCAGAACCAGCTGCCATAGCAGCACCTAAGGCAGTTGTTTCTGCCATAGCTGGCTTCACTGAAACAAAACAAAACATTAAATGTTGCACTTGCTTTCTGCCTGCTTAGATTATTGTTACATTCTTTGTAAATGTAAGTACAATCACAAAAGTTGTCAGACTTCAGTACTTTGTGCAGAATATTTAGATGTAGATATCACAAACACTTCTTGTCCACTTTGCATTTCAAAAAGCAGAACTGTAGTGGTTTTCAGTATGAATTTGGCACAGGTGGAGTCATGGACCCTTTATCACCACATTCATATGAAAAGCAAGAGATCTGCTTGAAATAAGGCAAATTATGCTAGCTTTGCAAACCTTAAAAGGGAAGAACCACAATATGCCAAATTCTAACTATTAATTATGAAATCTGTTTTCAAAATTCCCATACACTCATTAATCCTGTGCTCAGTTAACTACTGTGGTTCCAGTCAAACATAGCCTACATCTTCTGATCAGCAGATCACTTTTCACTGTCACCCACTGAAAATGCTCATTCTCCTCCTTGAAACAGTGACAAGGCTTACCCTTCAACCACTCCCACTCCATTTCAATGATCACCTTCCGATCACATCCCGTTCTTTTGCCCTCACCCCAGTAGACAATGCTGCCCCTCCCTCCTCGACAATGCTTCCCCTTCAATCCCTTGACAGTGGCCCAATTCCCCTGTCGACAGTGATTTCACCCCCACCGACAGTGCTCCCCGTTCCCCCCCACTTCAATGCTCCCCCTTCCACCTGCCCGCCAATGCTCCCCTTTTACTCCCTTGACAATGCTTCCCCTTCCTCCTGCCAATTTGCCTCTTCACTCCCTAGACAATGCTGCCCCTCCTCCTCCAGGTGATTGAGCTTTATCAGGGCTGGGGGCACAGCCGAGCTCTACCTTGGGGAAAGAAAGGGTGGTGCTGTGTCAATAGGTGATTAAGAACTGTCGGGTTGGTGCTATGGGTAGGTAGGCAAGTTCTCTTCTCAAGTGATTCATTTTTAGAAAGGACAAAAGTGCTGTGGTCTTTAAGGTTTTATGCTTCTGGAGGAATATTATTAAGTACTTGGAATCAAACTTTTTTTGTGGAGAGGGAACAACATTAAGGGTGGGAATTATACATTCTTACCTACTGGTATAGAAAGAATATCTGATTGGAGTTGCATCATTATTTTGTTAGTCGTCATTCCTCCATCCACCTGGAGACTGGTTTGATTGACCCCAGATTCTTTATTCATGGCCTCAAGAAGCTAAAAGAACACACAATGACTAAGCATTCATAAAAAGTAGTAACAAAAGCACAGTTAAATCTTTATTTATTTTTGTTGTCTTTCCAATGTATTACTTGTTAGCCTCACCCAGTAAAAATTGTTATGAAATGAATGAAATTTTAACAGTATTAATGTGTAAATTATGAATAATCTAAGATAGGTTTGCTTGGAAACAGCAATTTTTAAAAATTTAACGGGCACTCCTAGGACAGAGCTTTACATCAGAGTGTAGTTTTGAGTGAAAGAAGTTCTAATTTTGCCATCCATACTTCAAGCATTATTTCTGCTGTTAATATGGAATGACTGCATTTATTCTGTATATCTAAGACCATTTTAAGAACTGGTTCGATTAGAAATGTCACCAAAACATGAAACTAATGCACTGGAGCTAAAACAGAATAACATTTAAAACTCAAAAGAGTGTAGCCCAGATCCCAAGACAAAATACATTTCTATTTATGGGGAGCAAATTATAAAATATTTGGGATTCGAAGGAATCCAGAGTGACAATAATCTTCAGGAACTTGGCTTCATTTTTTTGGGAGTTGGAGGTGAATTTTCCTGTCTTTTTCCAACTAAATTGACCTAATCTTTTTATCCCTCTCTGCGTTGGAGTTCTGTCAAGTTACTGTACACTGAGGTATCTTCAATCCAATTGAGAATGACTACAAACACTTATGTGGTGAACCATAGACACTTACTGTCACTATATCCTGGCACACTCCCTTAGATTCTTACACACTGACTTGTCTGTGGGGGAAAGTGATGGTGATACTTCAAGAAAATGCTTTTCCAGCAGATTCTGCATGGTTTCCTATGGACTCTCCACCCTATTAAAGTCCATCAACATAAATTACACAGTCTATGTATTCAGGTTAAATGCTAATTAGGTACTTCTTTAAATTTCCAACTTTATTCTGTCTCAAAACTAAATAGACAGCTTAAAACATACTTTATAAAACTTGACATTCCTAAACTTTTCTGGGTTTGGACACATCAGACTAACATTTATTACCATCAGCATTGATGCTTCGGTCACTGTCTTTAAGCGTGAATACCTTGCATTTTCTCTCCAGTAAAATTACCTGCCTTCCTCCCTTTAATGCCTAAGCTACCCGTACTTCCTGGCAATAGAACTCAGGACAAGACATAGGATCCCTTCATCTATTTTCCCCTAAATGATATAGTCCCAAAACATAACAGTCTTACAAAATATCACCTTTGCAGCACAGCCTGTCAGGCTTTTCTCATCAATGAGCAAATTGACGGAAGGAGCCATCAGCAGGACTATAAAACAGCAGTTAGCAAAAGCACCTCAATAACATTTAATTATTCTGGCCAGGACAATTTTGTAAAATTAATTTAATCTTCAACCCGCGTGTACCCATTAGCTTACCTCACGGGTTTGAAAGGCAACAGCCTCTAGCGCAGCAAATGCAAGATGATTCCTATTTGTATACTGGGTAAGGCCACATATTACTCTGCACAGAAAACAATTAATTACATAAAGAAGTACAGACATGATTTGCATAGTGCAAAAGGTATCAATATTCTATAATTTAAAAGAAATTATTATTCAATAGCTTTATTTATCAACATTTACCATCAGTTATTATGGAGTCTGTTCCCTACTTAATCAACATACTTTGAAGTGGTGGACAATTTTTACTTCAATACATAGTCACTTTTGTGTAGTTAAGTTTAGGTACAACAAACTATTTTAGCGACAGAAATAATTACTTGAAATTCTATGATGCATTTGAAGGCTGAAAATATATCAGGAAGAGAAGAGGAAACCTGAGAATATGTACAGTCATACGGTTAGAGTGGACAGCTAAGGCATATTGGGGATTGGTTCATCAAGATTCATTATATTTAATTTTAATATTCTTCTTGCTGAACGATTGGATTTTTATGAGGGCATGTGATTTGGCTAGTCACTTTGTTATTAGTATTACTCTACAACTCAAGTACAGTCAATTTGCTTACTTGAAAAAGCCAGAGATTTAAGAAATCATTGTTGATATTATATATTTCAATACTTAAATTAGTGAAATACGTAGCTTTGGTTAATGAAATAAAAGTTATTAAAACAGTGATGACAGATTTAAATCTGAATCAACAAAGTGTATAAATTTGACTTAAAATTATGGATTAGACTTTTAAAAAAGTGAGCCGTTAGCATACGCAGAAATGACCAATCAAAATCATGTACAACTACAGGATGAGAATGTAAAACTGACGTATACAATCACACAACAGTATAGGTTCTATAGTACAGTACTGACCACGGAAATAGCCAGTGCTTTCCAGAGATAGTGACATTGCATTAGCTTTTATGTTAATATTGCTGCTGCATACTGAAACCAAAAAATATACAATGTTTTATGACATGGGTGAAAAAAAAAGTTCTTACCCTCTTGCAGTAGTATCCCAATATGGTGCGTATAACCCTGAGAATGCTGGCACAAAATAGCAACCGTAGGAGGAACCCACAGAAGCAGCAAGCTTCTCTATAAGAAATTGGATAAAATGTAGCAATAGTTCACATTGAATAAAATCAAAAATACAGTTTTCACATAAAAAATTGAAACAATTTGCTCATCAAAGTGAGGTTTAAAAATTAGTGCTTTTTAAAGGTAATACTTTGTGATCCTAAGTTCCTGTGCATTTTAACATCTTTTATTTCGTGTAATAATACCTATTTGAAAAATATGCTTCTCGTCTCAAATATGAGCATCAGCATTAAGCTAAGGCAAGCAACTTGTACACAAAATTTTCAATTGGCAGTCTTCCATTTCATAAGACAATGGCTTGCATGTGGGGATCAACGCTTGTGAAAAACATGCCCTGTTGTAGCTCAGGAGCCTCACTCAAGAAACTTGGATTTGAAGTTGCACAAGTTGTAAACACTTGGCACTGATATGTGCACTCTCACATATAACATGCAACCTGCCACATCTACTGTGTTTTATTTATCTTATTACTTAAATTATTAAATTCTCTGTCAGTGAGAGAAGAAATCATGAGATAATGATGGCAGTAAAAAAGAGGCAGCACGTGAATCATGGATGACTGTAATCTTCATGTAGATTAGGAAAATCCAAGGCAAAGATATCCAACAGGAAGAATTCATAGAGTGTATTTAGGACAGTTCCGAGAACAATGTGTTATGGATCCAAACAGGAATTGGGCTATTTTTGATCTGGTAATGTACATTGAAATAGTTTTAATGAATTATTCAGATTAAAAGTTCCCCCTAGGGAACAGTACCCAAAGAATTGAGAACATAGAAATTTAGAATTCAATTTAAGAGGGAGAAATTTGGGTTGGAAACAACTGTGCTAAACTTAAATAAAAGTAATTACTCAGATGAGGGCCAACTTGGCTGTAGTAGTCTTGGAAACAAGATTAGCAGAAAAGACAACTGAGGAACAATTGCAGATACTTTAAAAAAAAGTTCATAACCCAAAGCAAAGGTATGTTTTAGAGAGGAGGAAAGACTCTATGGAAGGGGGTAGACTGACCACAGTTAAACAAGGAAATTAAGAATGGGATCAAATTGAAAGAAAAAAAGATAATGTGGCAAAGAATAGTGGTAAACCAGAGGATGGGGAATGTTTGTAACACTATCAAAAGATTACCAAACCATAATAGTGAGGGAGTAAAGAGGAATAAACTAAGATATAAGAACTAACTAGCAAATAAAATTAAAATGGACAGTAAGAGCTACTTTAAACATGTAACAAGGAAAAGAGACCAAAATGAACAGATGCCCCTTATAGAATGAGGCTGGGGAAATAAAACGGGTACTAAGAAATGGCAAAGGAGTTGAATAAATATTTTATATTAGTCAGCACAATATGAGATACTGATAACATTCCAAAAATACTAAATAATCTGGAAAAATTGCAGAGGATTGCAAAACTGCCAATTTAGCATGTTTACTTAAAAAGGGAGAGCAACAAAAATCAGTTTACAAAAGGCCAGATAGCCTTACATGTGTTATTGGGAAAATTTTAGACTTTGCTATAAAGGAGGGTAATAGAAAATCATTTAGAAATGTATAATGTGATCAAGCAGAGTCAGCATGGCTTCATCAAGGGGAATTAATGCCTGACAAATTTACGAGAATTTTTTGACGAGGTAAGAAAAAGATAAAGAGAAGCAGTGGATGCCATATATTTGGATTTTCAGAAGGTTTTGATAAGATAGCACACATTAGGCTACATAAGATAAAAGCCCATGGTGTTGGAGATATTATATTAGCATCGATAGATTGGCTATTAGAAAATAAAGATAATGAGGGCATTTTCAGGCTGGCAACCTGCAATTGTGGAGTGCCACAGGGATCTGTGCTGGAACCACAATTAGGGCAATTAAAAAAAGGCAATAAATGCTGGACTAACTAGTCATGTTCATGGCCCATGAGTAACTGAAAAGATATATATTGACTTGGATGTTGAAAGCGAATGTGCTATCATTAAGTTTCTGGATAACATAAAAATAGATGGGAAGATAGTCAGGATGACACAAAGAGCCTAAAGAGGGATAAAGTCAAGTTAAGTGAGTGGGCAAAAACTTGGTAGATGGAATATAATGTAGGAAAATATGAAGTCATGCACTTTGGGAGGAAAACTATAAATGATGACAACTATTTAAATGGGGAAATACTGCGGAAAGCTGCAGCAGAGAGGGATTTAGGAGTCCTAGTGCATGAAATAAAAAATGCTAGCATCCAAGTTCAGCAGGTAACAGGGAATACAAATGAAATGTTGACCGCTATTTCTAAGGAAATGAGGTAGAGAGGTTTGTAAAAGGCACTAGTCCCCTACTGTGAACAGTTTTGATCTCACTATCTAAGAAAAGATATACTGACAATGGAGACAGTTCAGAGAAGGTTCACTAGGCTGGTCATAGGTATGGATGGTTCTAGGGAAGGACTTTCTGACGATGAACTAAAGGAATTATTGGCAGAGGAAGTAGTAGATGCAGGTACAGTTACAACATTTAAAAGACATTTTGACAGGCACATGAATAGGTAAGGTTTATAGGGAAATGGGCCAAATGTAGACAAGTAGGACTAGTTTAGTTTGGGAAACTTGGTCGGCATGGACAAGTTGGACCAAAGCATCTGCTTCTATGCTGTATTTTTTTTTCTTTATTCATTCATGGGATGAGTGCATTGCTGGCTAGGCAGCATTTATTGCCTATCCCTAATTGCCCAGAGGGCAGCTAAGAGTCAATCACATTGCTGTGGATCTGGAGTCACATGTAGGCCAGTCCAGGTAAGGTTGGCAGTTTCCTTCCCTCAAGGACATTAGTGAACCAGATAGGTTTTTCTGACAACTGGCAATAGATTTCTGGTCATCATTAGACTCCTAATTCCAGAAATTTATTGAATTCAATTTCCACCATCTGCCATGACAGGATTTGAACCTGGGTCCCCAGAACATTTTCTGAGTCTTTGGATTAACAGTCCAGTGATACCTCCCCAAGATAATGGCTCTATGAGAAGGTTGAGTAAATACAGAAATAAAAGGAGATCTTATTGAAACATATAATATTATTTGGTGCTTGACAGGATGGATACAGAATGGTTGATTCATTTTGTGGGTCAGTCTAGGACCATAAGGCATAACGTCAGGGTAAGGTTTCGCCCATTTAAGATGGAGATGAGACTGTTTTCTCTCAGAGGTAGTCAACCTATGGATTTCTTCATTGCAGAGGTCTGTCAATGCTGGGTCATGAGTTACTTCAAGGCTGAGGTAGGCAGATTTTAATCAAGAAGGCAATTAAGCTTTATGGAGAAAAGGCAGCAAAGTGCAGTAGAGGATTATCAGTTTGGCCATGATCCCACTGAATGAGAGCGCAGACTCGATACCTGAATTTTTGCTCCTACATCTTATGGTCAAATGTGGTTGTGCCATCTCTTCAGTACAGCTGTCTAATTAAGACCTTGCCCTATAGCAATGTCAATTATGTTATGTCAACCCATTTTTATCATCCTTTCAGGTAGTGCATTCCAGATTACAATAACCCACGAGTAAAGAATGTTTCTTCTTGTACCCTCTGGTTCTTTTTCTAATTACCTTACATTTGTGTCCTCTGGTTATTGAGACTCCTGATACTCCTGAAAAATGGATTTTCATTATTTACTCAAACACTTTCTGTGATTTGAGCACCTCTATCAAATTTCTTGTTCCGAGGGCAAGAATCCCAGCTTCCACGGTTCATCCAATTAAGTCTTTCATACTCTGTACCATTCTAGGAAATTTCTTCTGTATTGTCTCCAAAATTCTGGTATCATTCTTAAAATATAATACCCAAAATTGAGCAGAATACTCCAGGTGAGTCCAACCAATGTTTTATATAGACATAGCATCATTTGCAGTCAGTGGTGTTCATTCTATCTTTACTGTCTTGCAATGTAGAGGAAACAGCATTATGAGCAGCTAGTGTAGTAAACTAAAATGAATGTAGTACAAATAAGCAATGTATTACCTGGGAGGTTGTTATGGGTCCCTGGTGGTTAAAATATTGCATCTCCTCTGGTTGTGCAAGAGGAGGGGTTCAGGAAAGAGTGGGCGTTGGGGATGATTGAAGGGTGCCCTGTCCCTTTAGAGTACTGAAAGATGAGGAGAGAATCTATGTGGTGGTGCTATCACACATGAGATGATAGCCTTCTATTGTCTCACTTTTGCAGCTAGGCTATCAGGAAAGAATGATCAGGCTAGGTGGGTCTCTTTTCTCTCTGGAGATGGTGGGGGACTTGGGGAAGGAAGGAAGGAAGATGTTGAACAGTAATCTAGAGATCTTTAAAATTATGTATTTTAGATTATCTGAATGCAGGCAAAATGTTTTCACTTGTAGTGAAGACCACAACTATAGAACATCAATATAAGATAGTCATCAAGAATCCAATAGGGAATTCGGAAGAAATTTTTTCCCCAAAAAGTGGTGCGAATGCAGAACTCATTATCACAGGAAATTGGTTCAAGTGAAGTAAAGCTACACAAGGCCATGACAGACATAGATACGGAGGATTATGAGGAAAAATGGGAGACTCAAGAATGGCATAAACGTTGGTTTGGACTGCTTAGACAGAACTGCTCTTTTTCTGTGCCATTTATCCCATGTAAACTCATGGACAGGAATATTTCTCATTTCCACTCCCCAACACATAATGGAGTCTTCCTTTTGCTTACCAAATTCATGTTTCAGCTATAATCCTCTTTCTGACCACTTACCTTCTCTACATCCTTTCATTGGGAACTGTTGGCATGACATTGCCCATATGAATTTCTCTTCTCCCCTCACTCATTTTAACCAATCACCCTTTTAGTTTTCTTAATCTCTCTTTCAGGTCCAACCCCAAAATCTCAATTAAACCTCTCGTTATTGACAAAATAATCTCTACCTACCAGACTGTGAATGCCAAATACTCGATTCCTTGTCCCACCTTAGCTTGGGCCATGATCTCACCATCAAACACCAGCTATTACTTCCAAGACTGTCTGACTACATTCCATTTGAAGTGCTTTCTTTCATCAGCCTTAACCTCAGTCTGCTAGCCCTGCAAAAGCTCATTCCTACACCTGCTTTCCAAGATTTACAAACATGACAACCTGGATAGAATCTTTATTTCAATTCTTCCTGTTGCACAGAACTGATTTCTTCTTATTTACCTCTATTTCTTCAGCTTGTGCAGTCTGTTTTCACTAACACCCATGAGTCTTCCAACATTCTCTGCTTTTTTTTTTAAGGTTCATGGCATTTCATGTCTCCTTTTTATTAATGTTCAATTCTTCTCTAACTCCACCCCATCCAGGAACTCCAGATTTCTCTGCACTCTTTGCTGAAAAGAGGTCAAAGCAGTCTCTATCCACCAATACTCTCCTTTAAGTTGCTAAATGTGCGTCATCTTGGACAAATTCTTTGACTCAAACCGCTTCACCAAATAAAACATGTTATTGCGGGAATGCTTTGGGTTACCTATATTTGGCTTTTGTGGGATGTAAGGAACATTCCTTGTTGCATTCATAGGTAAAGACCCTCTCTAAAACAGAATTTAAGATTTTCCACAAGTACTTAGAAAAGAAAAAGAGTAAATGAAGTGCAGTTAAGAGAAACTAAAGCTGTCGAGGGAATGAGTGGTGAATTGGTAAGGAATACTTGCCAACTTCCTCCGCTGTGCTAATGATATGAAGGTTGTCTCGAAGCCAGCGTACCACAGCACCACCTATGGCAACTGATCCCTGAAGAAACAAGAAAATAAAGCAATTGTCAGTGGAGCAACACTGCATTTATGGGATCGAACCTCACTATTTGAGCGAATGATCTTATTTAAAAATAACTCCACTTGGAGAGTTGTGATTTTGTCCATGTATCAATTATATTCTGCACACAAATTAGTAAGTTATCACTCATCAAATAGAGTGTAAGTGTTATTTTCTATCTTGGGCAAGATAAAAAAATCAATCATTGTGCTACCTTGCAACAAAGGCCATTCTTGTAAAGTCCATTATTTTCTATTTAGTTATAATGTCTAATACTGAACGTTCTCTTCAATGACAGCAGGATACCACTGTGGATAGTCTATTATCCCCTGAATTATTTGCAAAGACATTTTTTTTTTTACAGGTCCCTTTTTTCCAGCAGTCATGTCCTGTCCTCAGTCCAAGGGCACAGTAGCTACACAGACTTAACATATTCCAGAGAGTGCAATATTTTGCACATTATATGATATATTACATATGATATTTAATACAGTATTGAATGCAACATGGCAATGCTTAAAATCTGGAAGACAGGAGGCAGTAGATTAATTCACAATGATTATGCTACAAGAACTCAATGGAGTGTTCTAGAATTGTACCAACAAATTTCTGGGCTATTTTATTTGAAAATGCAATGAAATGAATCGAACGAATAAAAGATTCACCATTCACCTGACATATTGACAAACTTTCTGCTCTTGAAATAGTTTCAAGTTGATTATTTCCAAATTCTAACCCCTCATGGATCAGCCAGTGCGTTGATAAGGTGAATCTCACTGGAATCAGCCAGTTAGGAATTAGATACTTGGTAAGTTACAATGCAAAGGTGCCCAATCCGAGGGTCATCAGTACTGGAAGAAAAAAATCCCCACAACTTAGTGGACATTGCCGAGGCAGGTTGGGGAGCATGAAAATGGAGGAAATCTTGGAGGCTTGCTGAGAATTTGAACATAAGGAAGGATGACAGGTCTTAAGGCTGCCGTTATGGTGGGGAGTTTCTCCAAGATAACTGCTATTGTTCAGGCCAACATTTGAATTCATGTTGTTCAATAACAGGACATGAACTTATGAACTGCTGTATCTTCATTTCTCAGTTACTGCCAGCCTCCTAATTCAGAAAGGTGCTGGTCTGATGCTGGGATACTCCTCGTAGTGTTTGCATCTTGGACATAAACAGATTCTAAACTGACCCTAATTGCAGGATTTAGTGATTCTATCCAATATATCAATGAGTATTGGTATGCCACAAAACATAGTAACAGTCACCGCACCACAGGTAACTGCAAAATCAGTGTGAAAATTTTATACCAACAGCTATAATCCCAAGATCATCCATTTCTTTATTAGCTCAATAATGCTTATACAAGAAATCTGAAAGGGCCATATCACATCGTATTTACAAAAAACAATATTACTCTTGATGCACAAAACAGTTACATGATTACTGAATTCATTTCAATATAACTAATTATGAAGTGATGTATTTTGAAAGGAAAAATGATAAATCTCCATGTCCATTTGTAAAAAGCCAAGTTTTAACTGGGGAGAGGAGCAAAGGGATCTGGGGTTACACATGAACAATCATTAGAAATAATGGGGCTATAAGAAAGCAAACAAAGCTCTGGGCTGTTTAGAACATAAACACTGACATTGATCTGTTGGTCAAATGATCTGTTTCAGTGCTGTAAATTCTATGAATACTATGTATGTGTAAAGACAAAACTGGAGTTCCATAACAATAAGCTTAACAAAAAGAAAACTTGCCTCTAGTGCATAGATTGCAGGGTTGTTCTTGCCCAGTTTATATGCTAATGTTGTCAGAAGGCCATGTTTGGATATAATAGGCTGTAAAGAATAAACTCGTTAGTTCAACTGTAAAATAATATAAGATGAAATTTGTACAGAGAATTGTGCAAAGGAAGGACATGCATAAGTATAGAGTGCTGTCCCACAAACTGAATACAACAACAGATTTTAGCCACTAGAGTTATGAACATATAACACTTAGTTTAACAATTTAATTTCTTGTTCACAATTTTACAAAGGAAATACTTCACTATACTTCTGCAAATCTGAGATATTAAACAGGGACAGACTCACCTTCTCACCTGTATTACTAAGGAGGAAACAACCTGTTCCATATCTGGAAAGAAACAGAGGATATACTTGCAACAAATAAGTAAGTACACAGGATTGAACAGTGCCAATCGAAGCAACATGTTGATATCATATAATATAATCATCAACTGTTTTTCATTTCCATGGTAAGAGAACATTTTGCTCTTCTTTGAATATTCAACAAGACCTTAATTTAACATCTCATCAAGAAGATGGCAACTCTAACAACAGTGTGCGTCCTGGAAATTTCGGTATCTTTTGTGCATGCAATAAAGTCAGCATGGAAGAAGAATAAGTTTTCTGTACATAAGGTAATTTTCTACAACATGGTTTGTAGGAAAATGAAAATTGAGAATAGATTTTGAGAAAAGACGACAAAACAGAAACCTGAGTAGATTAATGAGAAAATAAAAGATAATTAACCAATCAAAATGAATACTGATCATCAGGATTACAGATGCAATGTATGATGTAGGTATAAGAAATTCAGGGATGAATCTTGTTGAAAGCATGTTAATTGCGTTATTGTGCAAATCAGCCAGCAAGTGCAAGAGATCGAGATGCACATCTTGAGGTTTGAATCTCTAGAACAAGTTAATGATTTATACTGGTCAGTTGCTTGCTTTGTACAAACAGGATCTGGCTCTTCTGGTTATTTTTAAGAACTTGTTGGATTTTGGCATATTAATTATCCATTAAATTCACAGAACAGAGCTTGTGCTGGGACTGAACAGCACAAGTACCTTCATTAAGCAAAGTGATAAATGTTAGCACAATACCAATCATAATCTTAGGCCCCCCAAAAAAAGAACAATATAAATATTCAACATCTGCCATTTAGTTGATTGCTGTTTGACATTATTAAAGTTGTTTTCTTACTTTGGCTATCTGCCTCTGTTTTTCTCCTGATTTCCAAATTTCTTTTCCTTCTTTTCCTTTGTCAATCTACATTGTTTGACTCGTGTTAAGTGGCAAATAACATTTGTGCCACATAAGTGTCAGGCAATGATCGTTGACAACAGAAGGGAATCTAGCCATTATCCATTGAATTACCATTACCATCAGTGAATCTTCCACATAATTAACATTCTGGGGTTATCATGGACTAGAAACTGAAATGGACCAGCCAAATAAATACTGTGAATACAAGAGCAGATCACAGGCTGGGAAGTCTGCAGCATGTAATTCATTCTCTGGGCCCTCCTGTGTCAGTCCATCATACAGGCACCCGTCAGGATTATGATGGAATACCTTCTACTTGTTTGGACGAGGATAGCTCCAAGACCACTCAAGAAGCTTGACACCATCCAGTACCCTGAGTAGCAACCTAGGTAACTAAAACATTCATTCCTGACATGCAGAGGCAGCACTCCATACCATACGCAAGATGTACTGCAGCAAATCACTGTAGCTTCTTTGCTAACACTTTCTAAATCTGCAACTAACTAGAAGGATAGGTCAGTAAAGGCAAAGGAACATTATCACCAATGAATTCTTCTCGAGGCATAGGTCATCCTGACTTGGAACTAAAGTGCTGCCTGTCACTGTCCTGGAACTCCTTTCCTAACAGCACCATTGATGTACTTGCACCAAATAGACTGCAGCAGTTCAAAGTAATCATGTGCCACCACTGTCTCAAGTGCAATTAAAAATAAGCAACAAATGCTGGTCTCCTTCTCCTTCAATCCTTTCTTAATCATTACATTTAATTATTTAGAACATAGAACTATACAGAACAGGAATGGGCCCTTTGGCCTACAATATTGTGTTGAACATTACACCAAATTAAACTCATCCCTTCTGCCTGCCCTTGATCCATATCTCTTCACTCTTGCATATTCATGTGCTTATCCAAAATTCCCTTAAATGCCCCTATCGTATCTGCCTCCAACAACACTCCTTACAGCACATACCACACTCCTACCACTCTCTGTGGGAAAAAAAAACTTACCGCCCACATCTCCTTTGAACTATCCCCTCTCACCTTAAATGCATGCCCCCTAGTTTTAGACATTGCAACCCTGGGGAACAAAACACTCTGACTGTCAACTCTATCTATGCATCTCATAAAATTGCAGACTTATATCAAGTCTCCCCTCAACATTTGTCATGCTAGAGAAAACAACCCGAGTTTTTCTAGCTTCTCCTTATAAGCTCATACCCTGTAATCCAGGCAACATCCTGGTAAACCTCTTCTGCACCCTCCACATCCTTCCTGCAATGTGGTGACCAGAATTGAATGCAATACTCTAAGTATGGCCTAACCAAAGTCTTATAAAGCTGCAACATGACATCCTGACTCTTGTACTCAATTTCCCGACCAAGCACACCATATGCTATCTTTACCACCCTATCTACTTAAGTGGCCACTTTCAGGGAGATATGGACTTGAACCCCAAGACCTTCTGTACATCAATGCTGTTTGTTCAGGGTCCTGCCATTAACTGTATAATTCCCTTTAACATTTGATCTCCCAAAGTGCAGCCCTTACATCTGCCATTTCTCTGCCCATAACTGCAACTGATCTATATTCTGCTGTATCCTTTGACAACCTTCTACTCTATCCATAACTTCACATATCTTTGTATTGTCTGCAAACTTACTAATCCACCCACCTACATTTTCATCCAAGTCATTTAAGTTATTAGTTAAGTTAATACTTTGATGGTCCCACTGTTCACTGAGGCCACAGATGCCCTTTTGCCTTTGCAATTATCAGGCTGCAAACCAAGTCATATCACAGAAAATAATCAACCGAAGGATGCAAAAGATTCGAACCAATAACACACAATATATGTAACATGATCTGGCTCAATACAAACATTTATTGTACCTTTTCAACTCAAACAAAAGGCAGCCGGAGTAGGGAATATCTCTTTTATATGAACCTATTCAAAGATTCCATCATTAACTAGTGCTGAATTGCAAAATATTTCCTTAAAAGGTGCAAACTTACGTGTTTTTTGATTGTCCAGGCTGAAAACACATTTGTCCAACCAAAGCAGCAGATTGGTCACCTAAACACTGATGAAGATAGCACACAAATGCAAGTGCAATTACATTCTCTGAATGGTACTAAATTGCAAATAAAAATAAAAATGTTTTGAGTGAAGCATAAAGTGGTTAATACAAATTAAGGGTTTTCTCAACTATGAAATTATGTTACAGCTTGATAGTACACGAGGACAACCATCCAGAATTTATACTAATTACCTTTCTTATGCATGTAGTTTCTCTGCATCTAATTTGAAATTTTGACATTCAAGTGTATATTCACTTGGAATGTTTATCATATTTATCTACATAAGTAGAAATACATGAAAATAAACAGGAAGATAGAAAAGGAATTGGTTAATTAGTCCAATTAGTCTACCCTGCCATTGAATGAGATCATGGCCAATCTATGACCCAAGTTCATGTATCCACCTTTGCCATATGTCCCATAATATCCTTAGTTAACAGGTATCCTTCAGCTTCACATGTTTACCAAGCAACAACTACAGTTTGTGGAAGAGTTCTTTACCTCGACCATCTCCTGGGTGAAAGACTTAACTTCAATTTTTGCCTATATTCTCCAGTCCTAGACTCACTAATTAGCACAGATTGTGTTACTTTTATGATCTAACCTATTTGATCTCAATAATATTTTCAATATTTCTATAAAAATCATGTCTCAACCTTCTAAATTTCAGAACAAAAAGAACACTAGGTTGTCTAACTGTTCCATGCAGTCCTGGGGGCATCCTGATGAATCTACAGCGCGCTTCCTCTAAGGCTGATACAGATCCTTCTTAATAAACAAAAATGAACAAACTACTTTATTGCGATTTAACCAGGGCTTTGTCTAACTTCTATTATCATAGAATCCCTACAGTGTGGAAACAGGCCATTCGTCCCAACAAATCCATACCGTTCTTCCAAACAGCATCCCACCCAGACCCATCACCCCCTAACCCTGCATTTCCCATGTCTAACCCACCTAACTAAACATCCCTGGACATTATGAGCAATTTAGCATGGCCAATCCACCTACCCTGCACATCTTTGGACTGTGGGAGGAAACCGGAGCACAAGGAGGAAACCCACGCAGACATGGGGAGAATGTGCAAACCCCACACAGACAGTTGCCCAAGGGTGGAATCGAACCCAGGTCCCTGGCACTGTGAGCCACCGTGCTGGCCCAAATAATATCTGTTGTTGTAATATTACCCGAGCCTATAATTAAGGGTAGAATGACTGAGCACCTTGCAACCTTGCAATATTCAGTTGATCTGAGCAACAACCTGGAGTTGTAAAAGGGTTGGGGATCATGGCAACCAAGCCTAAAATTGTTTGTGAAGATGACTAAAATCCTAGACAGGGATATGGATATTATTTATGTAAACCTCCAGATGGCATTCAACAAAAGTCCTCATAAGGTACATGGTCTGAGTGGGAGGAGACAGAGGAGAAGAATAATTGGTAGATACTCAAATTGGCAGGATGCAACTAGAAATGGCCTGCATGACTTTACATTGGAGTCTCAACTATTCATCATATTTATTCATAATATTGATGGTGGGATAATGAGCCACATATCCAGTTCGACAATGATACATCTTGTAACTGAAATGATGACAGCACAAATGCTTCTGTTGATGCTGCAAAGTCCTCCTTACTAAATCTGGGGTTTAAGACAAAAGTAGAACTACTCCAGAGATTAGTCAAGCATCAGATTGACAAAGTCACACTCATTGAACTATACCTTACAGTCTGTGGCCCAGACATTGCTATTCTAGTCACTGGGTATGGCCTGTTTTACCAGCAGGTCATACTCCAGAGGCGGGAGTACAATGGTGTACAGTAGGGGTATCTTTAACATTGACTCTGGATCTCATGACATCAGGTTGAAAAGGGCAAGTAAATCTCCTATTGATGGTAGTTCTCTCTCAGCTAAATAATTGTACTCCTTCATGTGGAACCCCATTTGGCTCTGAGGGAAGCAAGGGCACAGAATGTCTATCATCTCTGACTGGTCAAGTTTTGAAGAGCAAATCTGCTTGATTGGGCCAATGGCAAGGGTAAGGGAGTGAAAAAAAAGGGTAGAAAACTACCAGATCTTGTCCCTGTTTCAGATGCATCTGTCCATGACAGAACCAGCAGGGGTGACGAGTGCAGATTTTGACAACTTCTGTCTTAACATGAAGATTACCACCTTCACTGTGTTGGATGACATTACCACCACGATAGGTGAACTAGATTTCAGTACATCAAGCAACTCAAAACTGGGCTTCCATATGTTGTGTGTATATTCAATATATTCCTCACTCTCATCAGGCTAAGGGACCAACCTGGTTCAAAAACTCCAGGCATACATAAAAATTAGTTGTCAACCTGATGTGAAGCTACAACACAAGACTTTTTCTATGTCAAACAGCAGAAGAAGCATGCAATGTACAAAACTGGACAATTCCACAATTAATAGATCAGACCAAAGTTTTACAGTTGCCAGATCCAATCCTGAGTATTTGTGGACAATGAATGAATTGACCAACTCGACAAACATCTTCATTCTCTGTGTTGGAGGAGTCCTACATAGTGCACAAGACCAGGCGGAAATATTTGCAACTACCTGAAATGACATGTTGTGGATAATTCATTTTGGCCTCCACCTGAGATCTCCAGCATGATAGATGCCGGTCTTCAGCCAATTTGATTCACTCCACATGATATCAAGAAACAGTTGAAGGCATTGAATTCTGCAGACGTTACGGCCTCTAGGCATGCTGCTCGTGGGTTTCCCCACGGCCACACAACTCCTGACCTCACCATACTTTTGTACGTGGATAGAAGAGCTGAAATCAACGTGAGGTAAGAGTGACTGTCCTTGATATCAAGGCAGCATTTGAGTGAATGTGACATCTTGTACAATTACAGCACTGGTATGTACCCAGCAATGTGAAAAATTGTCCCGGTTTTGCTGTCTACAAAATGTAGAACGAATCCAATCTGGTTAATTACTACCTATCAGTCTTTGCTTAATCATCAGCAAAGTGATGTAAGATAGAGTCAGTGTTACACAGCACAGAAACAGACCCTTCAGTCCAACTAGTCCATGGTGACCATAATCCCAAACTAAACTAGTGCCACCTGCCTGCGTTTAGCTCAGATCCATCCAAATACTTCTTATTCATGTAATTATCTAAATATCTTTTAAATGTTGTAATGTACCTGCATCCACCACTTCCTCTGGAAGTTCATTCCATACACGAACCACTCTCTGTAAAAATAAATTGGCCCTCATGTGTTTTTTAAATCTTTCTCTTCGCACCCTAAAAATATGCTACCTCCAGCCTTGAAATTCCCACCTTAGGGAAAAGACACCTATCGTTCACCTTATGATTTTATAAACCTCTAATAAGGTTACATTTCAACCTTCTTTACTCCAGTGAAAAAATTCTCAGCCTATCCAGTCTCTCCTTGTAACTCAAACCCTCCGTTCCTGGCAACATCCCGGTAAAGTAGGAGCAAGATAGCAGCAGAGAAGGATGCTCCTGTTGGAGCTCCACTGCTCCGCCCGTTTTTTTTCCTCCTTTTTCTCTCTCCTTTTTCTTCTTCTCTCCCCTCAGCACCCGAAGTGAAAACTGCATGGCAGCAAGTCCTCAGAGCAGCAAGCCTGCAGCAGCTTGCGGGCTGCAAGCCTCAGAGCAGCACAGGATGGAGCCCCAAAGCAGCCCCGGAGCATCACGCAGGCAGTGAGGCCCAGGGACCGATGGCAAGAGCGGGAGCAGGCAGTTTGAAGTGTCCGGCAGTGAGAGCCTGGAAAAGGCAGTCTTGGGGACTTGTGGCGAGAGTGAGAGCAGGCAGCCAGAGGCAGCTGGTGGCAAGAGCGGGAGCAGGCAGCATGAGGCAGCTGGCAGTGAGAGAGGGCGCAGGCAGCATGAAGCAGCAGTGTGGGCGATGTTAAGCCTTGTGAAGAGTGCAAGCCCAGCATGGCCAGGTGCTTATGGACTGTGATGTTGAACTATTAACTGTGTTTTTGATTTTCTACACTCTAGTAAGAAGGACTGTAATGTTCAACTTCTTAGCTTGCTTTCTTTATTTTTCTGCTTTGTACTAAGATTCTGTGCCTCGGTACATTTGTACCTAAGATGGCGCTGTGAATGGCAGCTTGTAAACTTTTCATCGTACTCATGCAAGTGAGTACATGTGACAATAAAAGCTAATTCTAATTCTAAAATCTCTTCTGAATTCTTTCCAGCTTAATAATGCCCTTCCTACAACAGGACGTTGTTGACAAGATGTTGTTGATAACTCTATCATCAAGTATCATTTGAACAACAACAATGCGCTTACCAATACTCAGCTTGGTTTCCCCACGGTCACATAACTCCTGACCTCACCGTACTTTTGTACGTGGAAAGAAGAGCTGAAATCAACGTGAGGTAAGAGTGATTGTCCTTGATATCAAGGCAGCATTTGAGTGAATGTGACATCAAAGAACATCAGCAAAATTTAAGTCAATGGGAATTGGGGGTAAAACTCTCCACTTGTTGGAGTCCAAAAAGAATTGAAAGATGATTGTTGTTCTTCCAGGTCAATCATCTTAGACCCAAGGCATCTCTGCAGGGTTTCTTCAGTGTGGTGTCCTAGGCCCAACTATCTTCAGCTGCTTCATCAATGGTCTTCCCTCCATCATAACATCTGGTGTAGGGATGTACACAATGTTCTGTATAATTTGTAACCCCATACATTAACAAGGCCTTGACAACAATGTGGACTTGTGCTGTGCAAATATTATTTGCCAGTTATCAACCCAAATGCCAGTCAATGACCATCTCCAACAAGACAGAATATATTTCCCCTTGACAATGACATTATCATCACTTGATCTTCCACCATCAATATCCTAGGGATTATCATTGAGCAGATCATCCATCTAAGTTCTGTGGCTGAGAATGGCTTTGAATTCTGTGGCAAATAATTTATTCCTTAAGGTCTGTTCACTATCTATAAGTGTTGTGACCAAATAATATTTTAGAGGT